AGGGAAGCCCGGGGGCTCAGGAAGGCAGGGAGAGAGAGAGTCATGTGGTACCAGCACTGACGGAGTGCGATTTGGGGATAGTTAGGATGACTAACTGGCCGGATCTGCCCAGGACTGAGAGATTTCCTGGGACACAGGACCTGCAGTGATGAAACTGGGTGAGTCGGTCACCCTAAGCCCTGAGATCAAAGTCTGGCTCTGCGTTGTGCCTGCGGCAGAAACTAGTTACCTAACTAGCACCCAATCCCCCATTCTTTTAGCAATGACCTTATTATAGTCTGAAATTGCCCCCATACGATTCTGCTTCCTCCCTCCCCTGCTTGCAGATATGTTGTGCATGGACTTTACTAGGCTAGGGAAGGAAAGAATATTCTTCCCCCGCTTTACTCAGCAGAGCTAAAAACAGAAGGCAGGGGGAATTTAGACTCAGTGGTGGAGGAGGGAGACAGTGAATTCCTTTTGGGGTCCCGAGACCAACTGTGATGGGGGCTGTGGTTCATCCTACCACCCCCACTTCTAAATGTCCCCTAAGGAAGAGAGGCCCAGGGTACCTCAGAGGGGCTGCTCCCTGGTCGTGTGTGGAGAAGCAGATCTTCACGGGGCAAGGGGTGAGCTGTGGCAGCCTTGGAGGGCTACTTCAGGATGCATCACGGCTTTGGTTGGTTGGTTGGTTGGTTTGTTAGAGCAGTTTTCGGTTCACAGCATATTGAGCAGAAGGTATAGAGGTTTCCCATACAACCCCTGCCCTTATATATACACAGCCTCCCCCATTAGCAACATCCTGCACCAAAGTGGTACATTTGTTACAATCAATGAACCTACACTGCCACATCATTATCACCCCATGTCCCTAGTTTACATTAGGGTTCCCTCTTGGTGGTGTACTTTCTATGTGTTTGGATAAATGTATATTGACATGTAGCCACCATCATGGTATCATGGAGAGTTTCACTGCCCTAAAAATCCTCTGTGCTCTGCCTATTCATCCTTCCCTCCCCCATAATCCCTGGCAACCACTGATCTTTTCACCGTCTCCATTGTTTTCCCTTTTCCAGAATGTCATACCGTTGGAATCATACAGTATGTAGCCTTTTCAGACTGGCTTCTTTCACTTAGCAATATGCATTTAGGGTACCTCCTTGTTTTTTCATGGCTTTTCATTGCTGGATAATATTCCATTGTCTGGATATATCAAAGGGCATCCTGGTTGCTTCCAAGTCTTGGCAATTATGAACAAAGCTTCTGTAAACAACCACATGCAGGTTTCTGTGTGGACATCACCCCAGCTTTTGAACTGAAGCCACCCTCTTCTGGGGTAGTGCCCAATTAATGACTGGGCATGAAAAGGATACTAGGGACTGGGCATTTCTGCCCAGTGAAAACTTCCCTGATGGGCACTGTTGGCCCTGGAGCACCCAGTTAAGTTGACCAAGGCTTTGTCAGATCTGCATGGAGGTCTGAGGTTCAACCTTCCCAATTCGTCTTTCTCCTCTTTATTTTTCCCAGGCTTTAGCCCCCAGTCAACCACTTGCATGTCTAATGCCATGTCAGTGTGCTTCCCGAAGGACCCAACTAACAAACTCTTCCTCTGAAATCAATCCACAATCCACCCAATTCTCTCCATCATCATGACCTCTAAACCTCTCATTCCTCTCATCTGGATGGTTGCATGGTCCCTACTTGGTCTCCATGTTTCCTCTCCTATCCCTTTATGACCCAGCTCCCACACAACTACCATTGACCTTTTATGAACACAAACCATATGGTGTCACTTTCCTGCTTAAAGCCCTCCAGTTGGGCTTCGAATCAAACCCATTCCCTTCCCCTGGCCTGTAAAGGCCCACATGACCTCACCCTGCTTTCCTCTCCAGCTTCCTTTCTCCCCGGGAGTTCACTCTGCTCCAACTCCATTGGCCTTCTTTCTGTTCCTGGTATATATCAAACTCATTTCTGTCTCAGGACCTTTGCACTAGCTGTTCCCTTTGTCTAGAACACTCAGTCCTTCTCCAAGTTTCTACATGGCTGGTTTCTCAGGTCATTCAGGTCTCAGCTCAAATGCACACCTTTTCTGACAACCTTATAAGTAATGCCCATCTCCTAACTCCCCACCCCACACACACTTCCTATAACTTTCTATCATGTCACTTTTAAAATTTCCCTATAATAAATTAACTTGTTTATTTAATTATTCATTTATTTACCGCTCGCCTCCCCACTATAATATAAAACTTGTGAGCTTGTCTTGTTTCCAGCTCTCGCCAGTGCCTGGCACTATGCCCCACCCAAAGTTGGTCTCCAAACATATATTTTGAATGAATGACTCTATTTGTTCATTTAGGGCAGAATTCCCTTTCCCTAAGGATGGAATGAAAGTAAAGAAATAAAAACCTCAGAGACGTGAGCTTTAGAGGGAAGATGTGAGGACTATTGCAGTCTTATGGAAGTTCCCCTGAGAATCCTGTTCTGACTACCTCTTGAGGAATTCTGTGTTAGGATCAAGGCGGGTCTCTCCCAGAGCCCCAGAGAGATGGGTTAGCCCCTGTCCTAATCTCCCCCCTCCACCTCCAGCAGAAGCCAGGGTTGCCCGTGGAGGAAACAGTTCTACAAACATTCACCAAAAGCAGCTGCCCTGGGCGTGGCCCCATGCTGGATGCTGGGGATAGAGATGAATCACGGAAGAAGGAGGGGGTGACCTTCCAGGCAGGGGACAGCGTGAACAAAGGCAGAGATAGGAGACATTCTGGTGTTTGGGGAGAATTATGCACAGTTTGGTACTGCTCCAGCCAGTGAGGATAGGAGATGAGGCTGGAAGGGCGAGCCATGTCCAGATTACCAACAGTCTCATAAACCAAGAGAAGCTAACATAATAAGGCCCAACGTTTATTAAGGCTTTCCACGTACTCTTATTCCCCCATTTTACAGATTGCAGAAACTGAGGCACAGAGAGGGTGTCAGGAACTATCAAAGACCTGAGACTTTACCCTCTTTGGAAACTAGGTCATGCAACCGGTAACAGCTAGAGGCAGGGTTTGAACTAGGCCTTCTGGCTCCAGAATCCATGCCCTTGACCACTAGGTAATACTGCCTCTTAAGGAATTTGGACTTTATTCCACAAAGGGATGGGGATGGGGAGCCACTAATAGGTTTGTAAGCAGGAGCATGACGCGCTCATATCATAGATTTAAAAAGTCATTCTAGGGACTTCCCTGGTGGTCCAGTGGGTAAGACTCCGTGCTCCCAATGCAGGGGGCCCTGGTTCGATCCCTGGTCGGGGAACTAGATCCTGCATGTATGCCACAACTAAAGATCCCACACGCCGCAACTAAAGATCCTGCATGCCACAACTAAGACCCAGCGCAGCCAAAAAAAAAAAAAAAAAGCCCTAAAAAGAGTCTGACCAAGAACTAAGAATCCTCAAATAAATAAAAAAAAAAATGAACACCAGCAACTGG